TGATGATGATGATGATGATGATGGTGATGATGATGATGATGATGGTGATGATGATGATGATGATGGTGATGATGATGATGATGATGGTGATGATGATGATGATGATGATGGTGAAGGTGCGGCTGAGCCCCGTGTGAGCGTGTGCTTCATGTGCAGCACACAGATGTACAGCTGCTCCTGGCTCAAACTGAGAAGAACTATTTTGAAACCAAGCTGGAGCTGGAGCGAGCGGCCGCTGAGAAGCAGCTTCTCTGGAAGGAGAAGAAGAACCTGGAGGTGGACAGAGACGACCTGCGACAGAAGCTGAGGGACGTGACCAGAGAAAATGTCCAAGTCAAAGAGAGGTGAGAGCAAATGACAAGATCCTCCTTCAGGTTTTTTAATCATTTCGTCTGGTTTTTATTAGTGTGAAACCCGTGAACTCACACGTGGCTCTGAGCTGGGAGTAACATGGATCTGAGGTCCAACGTCTTTTACTCTTCACCTCGTACCTTCTTGGCTGCAGACTCGTCTACTTCCTGTCTTCTTGGCCTTCACTTCTAAACCCTGACTGTGAAGAACATACAGCAACATTTAACCAAATATGACACAGATCAGAGTGAGTACTTAGAGGAGGAGGGCTTCAAGAGAAACATCTGATCAGCTGATTCTCTACTAAACCTTTGACATGTTTCCCACCAAACATCAAACATCACAGTGGAAAAAACAGAATATGTCCAAGATATAAACGAGGACACAGATAAGGCGTCGAAACTCATTTTCTGACTAAATTAGTGAGAATTCCAGGCCTACAGCAGAACATGGAATCATTTAAAGGATACGTGTAGTGAATATATAACATAAAGATGTTGAGCCACATTCCCATTTGGACAAACAACAATAACGCTGCACAGATGAAAAACAGCACTGCCGGAGGCTGATGAGAGGTACTGCACAAATCTTTCTGCTGTGAATTAGCGTACGTGAGAAAACAGAGGGCGTGAGAGAAAGGAAGGCAGAGAAGGGAAAACAGAGAAGGTGGTGAGTTATGGTTGGATGGAAGTGCAGACATCAAATAAAGTTGACGCGAAAAGACGGAAGAAGAAAGTTCTGTTTGCTCTGCCGCGGCTGCTGCTCTGTGGAATGTAAATCCTCATGACTCTTCACGTCCTCTCTCTTTGTTTGGACGTGTGCTCTGGTGGTCCTTCTGCACTTTCACTCCACCTGAGCGACTCTCCTTTGGGAATCACAGAAGGAATTTCCTGACTCTTTGCATTACTCTGAAAGCTCCAGGGATGAACCCACTCCATTTGTTAGAGGGTCAGACCTTCTCTGGACACTGCACACAAAAAGGAAATAAAATCACATTTTTGTCTAAAATGATTCATTTATGTTCATTTTGGAATCTAGTCACGGGCCAGATTTGGGCTGCGGGCCACCAGTTGATAATTGCTGCTTTATGTTCTCCGATGGTTTGGTCGGCAGTGAGATCAATATGCGACATCGAACCCTAACTGCAGAGGAGGAAGGCAAGAGGGCCAGCCAGTGTCAACGGGAGGCCGAGGCCGCGAGGCGTCTGGCCGAGAAGGAGCGACAGCAGAGAACGGCCGAGTGTCTGACCTGGAGGGAGAGACACCAGGAGTTGGCCGACAAGTTCCGAGCTCAGGAGGACCTGAAGGCCCTGAGGCAGAACAAGTCGGTGAGATGTCGGGGCGCACGCAGCCTATGGTACTCGTTTGTTATTTATTTATGACCTTTTGACCTTGGTGTGCTTTTTCTCTCCACCGTCAGTGTCAGGCCAACATCAAAAGCTACTTCCTGTGCATGACGGAGAGCGACCAGAGGGTTCGAATCCTGAAAAATCAAGATGGCTCCCCGAGAAATTTCACGGTGAGACGATGCAGCTGGAGAGATTGAAACACTGACTCTGATGTCGTCGCTGCTGATCCGCTCTCTGTCTGATGTGATTCGTTTTAAGGAAGCAGATCCGGTCTACATCTCCACCCCTGACTCCAGTCCTGAAGACCCTGAGACCAGTACATCAAGGTGAGCCCTGCAAAAACTGCAATGTCCACCAGAGGGCACCATAACAAAAGGCTCCACTCGCTCCTTCTCTCACTCTATTCCTCTCCTCCTGACTGCGACCGTCTCGTGTCTCCTCCTGCTGGACACCTCCATCATTGTCCAGTCAGTCCACAGCTTATTTACGCTAACATTCACACCCAGGTTTAAATCTAGAGAGAACAAGTAGTGGTTGAACATGTAAACTGCACACAGAGATCAGGCCTGTGACCTTGTTACTGTAAGGCAGCATCACTAACCACTCTCCTATCTTGACAGTCTGTTTATTACCATTCATTTCCCCAGGACCATGCTGAGGGTTTCGGCCCCACACACAGGGAGGGACCTGGGGCCCAGTCACTTTGACGAACTTCCCGCTTTCGGCGGCGAGCGGCCCAGCTCCGCGCCCGCTCGCAGGAACAGGAAGGTGGTGGAGTACTTCTGGATCCCCACAGACCAGGAGTGAGTCAAGGCACGGAGGCAGCTGAGGAATAGGTTTGATTGTTGAAGGTAAAGAAAAAGTCACACCAGACGGTAGAGCTGCTCATGTTCTTGACTTTATTGACATTAAAGCAACAGAGGTGCACGATAACTCAGAGTAGTTTACACAGTGATCCAAATCCATCGTCGTCTTCAAAGATCAACAGTGAGGGTAGAAGGCGTTGTTCACATCCATGAACAAGGTAGTCGGTCATTGAGCCAATTTAAATCAAAGGGACGCGTTTGTCTGTTTGTCTGATAAATACTGACATTTGTTAACTGTCTGAAGTCAAACCGTTGGCCTCCATAAACTCCTGTTCGACTTCTGCTCAGCATCTGCTGTGGATCTGAGAGATTCCTCTGATCCCGGCACCAGACATTGAAAAACCAACCAAACAATTTGAATTAAGAGGTAGAAACACAGGCGACTTCACACCGATGACTTTTTTCATGTACTGTAACATTTGGAGCGTACGTATTGCAACCACTCGTGTAATAAAAGTCAAAAAAAGAAACAAAAGGAAGGGGGCGCTGTGTCGTGTCAAGGGAGAATGAAAAAATCGTAATAAAAGGAAGATGCTCGTCAGTGTCAATGAAGAGCACTTTTATAAAAAAACAAAAAAAGAAAGTGGTAAACAGTATTTTTAAGTAAGTAAAGGTTGAATTCATGTCTAGCAGTTAATAAACTGTTTATTTATTTATTTTTTACCGTGTGTCAAAGTTTAGACCCAGTTTGAACTCTGCTCTGATCTGACCACAGGAGGGCAGCACCAGTTCATCTGTTCATGTGTAAAAGCCAAGTTTAACCCTGTGGCTCTGACACCAAATGGGTTTTTTGTGCCTGGTGATCAGACATTGATGGGATGATGTTGACACCAGGTTCTGACCAGGTTCTGACCAGGGTCTTACAGGAGATCACTAACAAGTTTGTCAAATTCTCTTATTTCACCACATTAGGCTTCATTTCTACGTGTTGTCGGGGGACAGCTGACCCTCTGAGCTGCTGCGTCAGAGGTTGAACAGAGGAATGAGGGAGCGTGTGAAAGCTCGCCCTGAAAATCTTTCAGAACAACTCGTCCTGTTTTCTTTTTAAATGCATGAATTCTCTTACAGCTGCTTTTGTTTGACGTGTGAACTTATTGTGACAACGTGTGACGCTAAATCACTGCACATTGGACCATTAAATAAAGATGGTTCCTACAAGGGGAGAGAAATGTGGAATTAAACACATGCAAAAAGAAAAAAAAACAGTTTCAAACCTACAACAGTCAGGATACAAACAAAAAAAAGACTCAAATTTGAACGGAGCCACTCAAGACTTCATGTGGCTGATCAGGACACACATCCAAGAAGAATCAGACAACAAATCAAAATGATGCGTCTCAGCCTATCATCATGGCACAGGATGGTAACGTGTGATGACCTACGTGGACACGATCGCGGTATTAACGGCTGAAGGGCTGCGGCGGAGGGCCCCCCAGTGGTTGGATTAAACACAGAGTAAAAAAAAAGTGGAGTAATAGTTGAGGAGGTCATCATCTACACCATTCTGATTCTGTTGGACTCTCAGTCTGCTTCGTCCTCGGACTCTTCCTCCTCTGCCGTCTCCAGCCAGGTCAGCCACTGGTTTACCTGGAGTGGACAGAAGGAGGCAGTGTTTCAGTGTTTGACCTGTTCCTCGACACACCTTATAATGTGATGTCACTGAAGGACCTTTACTTTGAAACAGTTTACTTTATAGTTGTACTGAGATGAACCGCACCAGCCACCGTGCTAACTCGTTAGCCACAGTGCTACGACTGACTTGACGTTGTTTTTTGTCGTTGTGACTGTTAGAACGTCAACACTAGTAATTACTGACAAAACAACTTTGTTGAATTTGAATGAAAATAAATTAGGTTAAACTGTTTGTTGATAACGAGAGTACCCTGTGTGTGTGTGTGTGTGTGTTGGTTTTATGTCAGTGACTAACAGACACCACTGGACCTCACATCACCAGAAGTCTCCACTGTGGAACATCTGACTTTTCTTTTTTAAAAACAGTGTCACAACAACAGAGTTGTTTGTTAAAGAACTGGGACATGACCATACCTGGAACAAAGCTTTTCCTTTTCCAGGGAATTCTTGGGTTATATCTTCTTTCCATGCGAGGAAGGCTTCTTCTTCAATGATCTCCATGTCATAAAAGTTGACAAAGTAGCGCAGCAGCATGCCTGGGGACAGCCATCGTCAACATACGTTCAGGTGAAAATCCTCTCTCCTCTCCGTCACACCGGTGTCGCTCTTACCTTTAGGGAAACCACTGGCGTTGCAGTGGACCTGCAGGGCGTAGAGGGCGCTGACCTGCAGCTCTGTGTGGTCGTGCAGGAACTTCTGCATGACGGGCTTGAAGGCCAGCAGCAGCTGCTTTTCCTGCTCCAGCTGCTCCTTGGAGGGGGCTGCTAGCTGCTCGTCACACTCCGCCATGCACAGCTCCTGGGAGATGAACTGCAGAAAACTTGGAGAGGACACAGACGGTCAGTTTTCAAACCACAGTGGGTGAGTGACAGCTGATGTTAGCAGCTGTAATCACCTGGTCATGAGGATGTTGACAAATCCTTTATCAGTGTGGAGCTTTGGAGAGATGTTGTCTTTGATCCACTTGTAGATGGACTGTGGAGACGGGTCTGCCTTGATCTGCTTCAGCAGCTCCTTCTCCAGCTTCAGCAGTGGAAACAGGAAGCTCAGGCCCTTCCCTTCCAGGATCTCCAACATGCGGTCCTTATTCTGATCGATTTCTGCAGAGCGGTCACAGCGGTCACTGGTTGTTTGTGGTTTTTTTTTTTAATGTTCACAGTGAATCACTGGTTAAAGATTGAGTTTCTGCCGTGAACATTACGCTGCAGTTTCCTGTCAGTATTTAATGATTGCCCTCGTTACTTCAGATCTGGGGCAGATCCACAACAACCCTGAGCTGAAACATTCAGACTCGTCCCAAACTGTACAACAGGGAGGTGGTTACCTGGGAGCATCTTCTGCATGTTGACTTTGCTCTGCTGGAACAGGTCAGTGAGCCACTCCCGGTCCTTCAGTTTGGCCGTCTGTTGCAGGCACAGAAGGAAGAGTGGGAAGTGGGTGCCGTTCTCCAGGGGGTGAGCCAGCTCTGCCACGCTCACCAGCTCCGCGATGATGGCCCGGGCCGCGAACTGAGCCAGGTAGGACTTCACCAGCGGCACGTCCACCTCGATCTTAGGGCACTGGTCCAGGACATTCAGGAAGGCCTGAGGAGTGGGTGGGACATTTCAAAGTCACCTTCTCTGATGCTTTTTTTCTTCCTCTCAGATTTGAATGTTGTCACAAACCTGCATGAAGTTCTCTCCAGTGACGAGGCCCTCGGTGCGAAGCGTGTGGATCAGAGTGCTGACGTGCTCCTTGTCCTCGTCGGTACGATCCAGGGAGAACACGATGATCTTGCTGAGCATCTCAGGTAAGAAATGCTTCGGAGCCTTCATGTCTCTGACGCCACTCACGGCCTCAGTCAGGTTCTTACTGTTCAAGTACTCAGTCATGATTGCCTCCTGAGAAGAACGAGGGCACAGGAAGTGTGTTGATGCACCTGAGACCAGATACTTCCTGAACAGGTTTATTCATGTCTGAGAGAGTAAAAGCTGAATGTTTTCACTCACCGTCATCTTCAGAAGTTCCTCCTTAGCAGGTGGTGGTTTCTTGTTTGTCTTCTGAGGTTTCTCTTGGATGGGTGGAGGATTGGTCTTGAGGCCAAGCTGTGGAGGCTGAGGACAAATGGAACAGACAAGAATGTTAGTGAATAAATAAAGAAACCTTGAGTGTAAAAGCCGAAGCACTGCTCTGTCTGACTGACCTGTCCCAGGGGTGGAGTTTGGGTGCGCGGTGGCTGAGCACTGGGAGGCATCATGGTGGGGATCTGAGGCTGAAGTTTGGGAACTTGGTTCTTGTTGAGGAGGAATGACTGAGCTGGCCTCAGGCTGATCTGTGGGACGGCAGGACGTCGATGGACAAAACAGGATCAGTCAAAATTTTTGTCCAACTCCAAACTTGCCTGTTGGTTAAAATCATGCCCTCATATCTGATAATCACAATCAGTGGACCAGCCACGGTTTACAGAGAGGAGGAGGAAGAGGAAGAGGAGGGGAAGGAGGAGGAGGGGAAGGAGGAGAAAAGACCAGCAGCTGGACGTGCTCCTCAGATAACGCGTCTTTTTTTAATCAGCGAGCATGAAGACTGTCCAACAGACAAAGTCAGACTGGTGATAATGGAAGCTGACAGAACGTCCACGTACCTCGTCAGCATTGAGCTGTCCTTTCTTACTGAATCGTGGAGGCATGTCCTTGGACTGGACCTGCTGCTGGGCCAAGTGGTTCTGGTTCTGGTTGAGGAAATGCTGGTTCTGAACCTGTTAATAAAACATTATCATCTTAAGAATTTGAAATCATCTGAACAGAGTCCAGTCCTTTCTACTGTTGGCAGAATGACCTGGTTAGACTTGACAAAAGACTTGGGCCCCATGTCAAATTGTGACTGGGGTGGAGGGGCAATGTGACCGCTGTGGCCATTGAAGAGTGGATTGGTGCGGTGGCGTCCCATGGTGGGCGAGTACCTGTCCTGAATAACACCTGGACCAGTTCCAATCCCACAACCTGAAGAATAAAATAAAATTACATTTAAATTGAAAAATGGCTTTTCCTTTAACGTGTGTGTGTGTGTGTGTGTGTGTGTGTGTGTGTGTGTAGATACCATGTGCTGATGTTTATAACTACACTTAACCATTTAACAAAACAAGATTGGTACCGGGCATCTGTCCAAACATGTCGGCCAATCCCCCAAGAGTCTCTCTGTCCAGTTTCATTCTGTTGGGCATGAAGGGGCTTTCCAGGAAAAAGTCCATCCTCATCCCCTGAGACATGGGTGCTGGGATAAAAACACCCAGATCCTACAACAACCACACCGAGCCTCACGTTAATCTTAAAACCAATGACACACACACACTTTTCTCCATCTCTAAATCGTGTTCACTTTTAAAACACCGTGTCCTGATCTTTATATTTATTCAGCCCACCACGGTCTAAATAAATATAAACATCCATATACAAGTCACAGGACTAGACCAAGACAAGCTCAACTTACTGTACAGTCTGGAATAATACAAATTATAACCTATGGCTTGTATTTTTTAGATTAAAACAAGATTTTTTTTTTTTTGTTGAATAAGGCCTTTCCTCACTGAAAACTGACGTGAATAGTTTGTTTTTTATTTTTTTAAATGTTTGGATCCAGATTTGTCTCAAGTCTGCACCGGTCCAGAACGTGTGTAATCTGTACAAAGAACCGCAGTCTTCGCCGACTCACTTTCACTGCATCTTGACGGATCTGGTTAATCGTCTTTGGTCCGTTGTCAATGAAAGCCTTGCGGGGGACCCAGTTGTTTTCTCGCAGCTCCACTGTGTCTTGCAGCAGGAAGCGGATCCTGGCGGGCAACTCCTTGTGATTCATTAAGGATCGCATACGGCCAAAGTACTGATCCATTAAAGACTGAAAGACAAGGGGAGGAGAGAGACTGCTGTGGTGAGGAGGACACTTCAGACACCCTCATTTTCTGATCACTCTGGACTGTTACCTTTGCTTTCTCATGGTCGAGTCTCGGCCCCACTGTTCTCATTATCTGACAGAGGCACTCCAGGTCCTCCCCCATATCTTTGAGCTGGACTCTCTTCTTCTTTTCCAGAAGCTTCAGAGTGGATTAAAGAGAAAATCATAAGATCAGATTTTAGGCAGCAGTTCTTCAACTGCCTGTTGCAGTCTGACAAATAACGTCGTCAGACGTGATCACAACAATAAGACGGAATATCCACGTACTGTTTTGATGCACTTATGAAGGATAGATTCATGGATGAGGTCGAGTTTGCCAAGTTCCCCGATGAATTTAATGTTGCCGAGCATCTTGATCTTGGCAATGGCACGTTGTTCCTCCTCCTCAGAAGTGAGAGGGTTGTCATGTTTGTCATAGACTGAGGAGAAAAAAACAACACATTGAGCTGCAGTTAAATTACAGGCCAAGGTAGAAAATGTCCGACGTCACCGCAGGGTCAGAGACTTACTTTCAACATTTCTGGTGCGGTTTTCAAATTCATCTTGAAGCTTGGAAATCAGCAGTCTTCTGAAGGTCTGTAATGACATCGTCGTCGTCACAGAAGAAGAATACTTGGAATACTATCATTGGTAACATTGAAATTGAAAAAGTTCAATACTAACTGCCATTTGTCATTGCACATTTAATAGATTACAGCAAAGTGGGCTGAGGTTGGTTTATGTTTTTTGTTTTTTGAAGTCACAATACTGCAGTTCACTTACTGTGCTCTGCTTTTGGGTCGACTGGATCTCAGATGAAGGGCCATCAAAGTTTGGTGCGTCCTCTGCCAAGCGCAGACATAGCTGAGCATAGAGCGAGCTATACTTCGGCTCTTCTAGGGCTTTGTCTACAATCTGAGTCAGATGAGAGAAACCACAGAGATGAGTCACGCTGCCAAGTGCTGATATTTTACCCAGGACTAAAGGACACAATGTCAATTACCAGCAAGATGATTCCTTTAAGGACGAGTTTTGAATCTACGCCCACGTTCAGGAGCTCAAGGCATAGCTTGTCAAACTTCTCAGGCGTGAGTTTGTTGAGTATGCTGGAAAATGAGGACACAACGAGACAGAGGCGTAAAGGGTCAGTAGACCTGCAGTCAGACGTGGCCATGTTTGAACTTATTGTTTACAGTGTGTGAAAAACAATGTATGTACAAATGTTCTCAACCCAGGATCCTTTAAGACACTCGTTAGAACATCCTTGAAAACATCTTCTGTTATGAAATATATTCCACTGCAGTCAGACTGGTGACATCTGGTACAGGTCAGGACTATAGATTATTTCTTCCTGTGGTGACCACCAGCTGACCCACATTCCTGAGGCAAATTCAGGAGAATTTATGAGCTTTGGCAAATGGCCAGAATAAGTTGTTCAGACCCAACATGGAATTTGTACAGTCTCCCAGACTTTAATATTTGAGCTTGTCATTGTATCCACCACTTCAGAATTGGAATTGATGCACAATAATAATCTGCCTGTCAAAACAAACCTCCTGGAGTGTCTTGTCTTCTCTCCTAACAGGAGCAACACCTCATAAAGTGCTAAACCTATCGAGTGTTTCTCCTGAACTTTTGGGGAAGGTGCTGTTGGCAACACAGAGCATTTTCTTTGTCAGTGGCAAAAAAATGAATGAACTGTGACAGGACCACATTTTTTTATAGAGTATTATAGAGAGATATGATGTCATGTAAAAGTATTATAGAGAGATATGATGTCATGTCAAGTTTATATAATGTGTTACGGCAACGTCACGCTTTTTCAAAAGTAGAACTGACTTCAACAGAAGTCATGGTGGGGAGGAGCTGTCCTCGTCAGGGGGAAACACTGAACTTCATCGTGACAAACATTCAAGAACATTTAAACTAGTAAAATCTCTGTGCTGTTGTTGTAGTTCTTACTAGTTACATATATGTTTATTCAAATATTTTTTTTTTCTAGAACACATGGGTTGGAACCTTACCCCCTCACTTTCCTGAAGATTGCATCGTGTCGTTCTTTTTCGTTGCTGGAGTTGACATCTCGTCTAGTGCTTCGTGAAGGAACCCATCTCTGAACGCTTTGCCCTGGGGTTTTCCCCAGGAACTCGCTGCAGAAATACCAAATAATTGTAATTTGGGTGTGAAAACAAATCTCTGTTTCTAGTGTGTGTTTACATGTCTTGGAACAGACTGTGGGTCTGCTTAAAGTAAACAACCATGAACTGAGCAGAAAATTAACTCATTGACCTAGTAAATGATGCTATAAAAGTCTCAAAAATTGTTTTTTTTTTTCAGGATCCCATCCTTTGAAGATAAATGTTTATCATCACCATTTCTGCTGCATAATTATCTCAGTCCATGTACATGTATGAAAACATGTTCCTTACAAATAGATCAGTCGACATCATTTTACTGGACTTAATGTCACGCAGATGTGTAATACTAGTTATTAAAGTTACGTGTGATTAAGGATAAAACCATAGAAATAAATTGACAGAACCTGTTGCCGACAGTCTTGGGATAGTGCTGAGGTGCACCCCTACCACCTCCTCCCCCCGAAGAAGCACTACAAAGGCAGAGAGAGTACACATAAGGGCAAATTCAACACTTTACATCAACCCTTGGTCACATGTGCTACTATATGTCTCTATGGAGCTTTTGTCTCTTTTTTCAGGGCACAAAATCTTGCAGCACTATTTGACTCGTGATTTATAATTTTGAGAACATTGGGATTCTAATGTTTGTTTGTTTGTAGCAACACAAGTGAGTAAAATATGACTCTAGTCTGGATAAAAAAAGATGACAAAGGACAAGAGAAAAAAAGTCAGATCTGTTCCTCTAACATTAGACAATGAGATTTACTGGTAAAAAATACCAGAATGCTGCTTCACATTAACTATCAGTCCTGATCTCTGACTAATTCTTAGTGACACAACATCCAACACTGACAGCCCTGTTTGAAAAGGTATCAGTGTACGCTATTGTTCAAACTCAACAGAAGGTTGTCGAGTAGTGTGGTAACTGGAGCACCACAATGTATCATCTGAATGACTGCACCTTGTCTGATGCCCTGCTAACAGTGGGTCTACCTAATTAAATAGGTGTGTTGAACCATTAGCGCAAACAGACAATTGAAAAAATTCTCTGAAAGACTCTTCCGTCACCCTCCCCCTTGTTTTTCTGTATCTTGACAAAGAGAAGAATCTGACAGCCATTTTGAGCCTCCCACATCCTGCTTTGTTCTAAAAGCACCGGAAGATCCTGCCCCAAATGTTAGCAGAAAGCTGGCCTTGAAAGAAACACTATATAATGATACCCAGATTGCTATGTCCGTTGCCAATTTTTGCAATTACCTGAAACGAGAAGCACCCCCTTCTGCAATCACACTCTCCACTTTGGCGGCTTGACAACGAAGAATCCTCAAAAGAATAAGTTTATTAGGGAGGGATGGGGAAAACGGTGCTGGGGAAGAGGATAACAAAGGGGGTTCAATTAGTAACGGAAAAAACAATCCAGTCTTGGACATTCACAGACTTTGTTCGCGTTGTCATTCGCACAGACCTACACCTGGGACTGCATTAAATGACATATACACGACATCGCTTTGTGTACTGTTCCGTCTTTGTCTCTTGGGCTGAACCGTAACAAAACGTCAAATGTCACTTCAGCGCCTTTAACTGTAAACGCGACACACGGGTTAACGTGCATTTAATGGTTATTTTCTAATGACTACTGCAGCGGAAGCAAGGGTAGAAAACACAGCAATATTTTTCCTTAAGCGACAACAAAGCAAAGGTACGTTAGCCAACAGGCTAACAATTAGCCAGCAAGACTGCTACACATCCAGCTCTGCTACGTCACGACAGCAATGAAATGTACACCATATGTTTTTTGTTTCTTCCCATTCTTCTATGGGTTGTACTGGTTGTGCAACATATTCAAGGTTCGTGTATTTACAGTCATTCTATCATGACGAACATGACATGTACGACGTCTTGTTTTCCTGATCCATGGCAATGACTAGGGTTTTTACACAGGCAACACAATGACTACATCATAATGCAGTGAAACAGGGCAGGGCGCTTGGTTGGATGGGCGCTAAGGAGCCCTTTTCGGTCGTTCTGGTGTCGCCGTCCTACCGTGGCTCAGGTTTTGTCATCAATGTTTTTGAAGCCAATTTTGAATCGCCCCTTGCCCTTATTCAAATCTTACGGATTGGTGACCGGTCATAGTAATGCCTTCGAGATATTACTTTTATTTTCATGCAAACATGTTGGATTAGCCTTTCCGACGACGCCATTTTCTGCCTGGAAATAAATCAGCTGAGCCATTGGCGAGCTAAGCTATCTGCCGGCTCTGAAGCTAACATGCTATCGTTAGCCTCCACTTTAAACCGTTAGCGGAAGCCATTTTGGATGAACCGGTGCGGTCTTGTTAGGGAGAAACTCTGCCTTACCTTTACCAACGCAACTTCAGGTTTTATATTTTTGAGTCACTACCAGAGAAGAAAAGGGGCAACAGTAAAAGAAAATGTTGCCTTTGCGACGGATATCAGCAGAGCTTAGAGCAACAAGATGACCGCACAAAAACACACACATCAACCCCTACGAGTTGCCTGCCTCACTGGCTTGTTTTCGATAGCTAAGCTAAAGGAGAAGCCGAGAAGCTTTGCAGCCTTGTGGGGGAAGAAAAGTCAACAAATAGCATTGGTCACGTATTTTGTTGCCGTGTGGACTTCATCCAATCACGGCAAAGCTTTGTTTCTAGGGCGTTTCTATAAGAGATTATAAACCAACCAGAGACATTCAAATATTAAAGAGCCCGCCTTTAAAGTTAATTGACATGCGATATGACATCTGTATGGAAGACAATCAGTACCATAATTCATATTTAAATATACATTTTCAGAATATACCGGCATTTTTTTGACTCAAATAAAAATTATAAATCTATCATCCGAATTGCAATTTCTTCTTCAAGATTGTTCATTCTGTGACTTAATTCAAATGAAAAAGAAAAGGACATTTAAGATTTAATTTTCAAAAGAACCAAATTAATTTTGAAATTTGAACATGAAAACGCATTACTAGAATGCTTTTTCATTTTCAGAATATAGCTGATATCTGATAGATGGGTGTATCGTTTTAAACAAGGTGTACTTTTTGACGGGAAGATTGGAGACGGAGATTGCCGAGCACCCACGGTGATTGCCGAGCATCCTCGGAGATTGCCGAGCATCCACAGTGATTGCCGAGCTTCCAGGGAGATTGCCGAGCACCCACGGTGATTGCCGAGCACCCACGGTGATTTCCGAGCACCCACGGTGATTGCCGATCTTTTACGGTGATTGCCGAGCACCCACGGTGATTGCCGATCTTCCACGGAGATTGCAGATCACCCACGTGTGCCTTGTCATTGATTTGCTAAAGACCAAAAAGGCTGAGCGGTACGGAGATTGCTGAGCACCCACGGTGATTGCCGAGCATCCAGGGAGATTGCCGAGCACCCACGGAGATTGCCGAGTACCCACGGTGATTGCCGAGCACCCACGGAGATTGCCGAGTACCCACGGTGATTGCCGAGCACCCACGGTGATTGCCGAGCATCCAGGGAGATTGCCGAGCACCCACGGAGATTGCCGAGCATTCACGGTGATTGCCGAGCTTCTACGGAGATTGCCGAGCCCCCACGGTGATTGCCGAACATCCAGGGAGATTGCCGAGCACCCACGGTGATTGCCGAACATCCAGGGAGATTGCCGAGCACCCACGGTGATTGCCGAGCTTCCAGGGAGATTGCCGAGCACCCACGGTGATTGCCGAGCACCTACGGAGATTGCTGAGCACCCACGGTGATTGCCGAGCACCCACGGTGATTGCCGAGCTTCTACGGAGATTGCCGAAGCACTCACGGTGACTGCCGAGCACCCACGGAGATTGCCGAGTACCCACGGTGATTGCCGAGCACCCACGGTGATTGCCGATCTTCCACGGAGATTGCAGATCACCCACGTGTGCCTTGTCATTGATTTGCTAAAGACCAAAAAGGCTGAGCGGCGACTTTCTGCTACAACTAGCATAGTGGTTGATTTAGCCAACAAAAATAGAGAAATG